TTTATTTATTTTCCTTGGTAGAAGAAGATAGGTACGCCGATTCGTCCAGTTCACACCACTCCCCGGTTTTTTGAACAGAAGTTTGTTCCTGTTGTATCCTTAAAGAAGGTTACAAACAGACAAAGGTGGTGCTCGAGTGAAGAAACAGCAACACGCGCGTAGATGAAAGAAAGAGATTTATTATAAAAGAAAATAAATTACTGAAAGTATCGGGTAGCAGGCTAGTAATTCCCGAAGGAAAGGATATTTGCCAACCGTCGCACGGGGGTCAGATGTGGCATAACGACAAATTTAACGTGGAGTATCCGAGCCCGTAGGATCGGGCAGAAATTCCCCGTAGACCCCGAAAAAAACGGGGACGGGTAGCTGTCTACCACTCCAGACGAGACTCTGCCCTTCGACATAGCCTCGTCTGGGTTTCTCTCCGCCCGAAGTCAGAGAGTTCGACCAGCTTAGCTGGAGACGTATCTCTAACTGTTTGCCGAAGCAAGTCCGCCAGGTATATCCTGTGCCCACTATATATCTCTACTGATATTGTCGGTTCCCATAGACGATAGGGAGTGTGGGACATTCCATTACCACAATTCCTTGTCTCTTGTTTAGGGTTAGGCTTCAGGTTCCTTCTAACTTCTACTTCAGCTCTGTACTTTTAACGTCTCCACCTAAAACTCTAAAACTGAATTTCACTATTTATTTATTTTTTATTATCGTTTGTTTAATAATTCCACCCCAAGCAAGGCAATAGAGTTGCTAGTTTTTACATAGTTTTATGAGAAAAGCTACTATTTTTAGAATGGGCTTTTATTAATCTGACAGATTTAAATAAATTTAAACGTCATTTTTATGGATACTCATGTTTGAGTAGACGCTCCGTTTATTTATTAAACAGTATATTTATATATTGTCACCTACCGGCCTGAATATTCGGGAAAATGTATTAAAGAAAAACTTGCGTCCTTCGGCAGGAATCGAACCTCCGTTCCTCAGTGAAGATGGGACCACCGTTTAGCCCGGCACGCCTTAATGTTTGGCCACGAAGGAACATGTCATAGATCTCTCAAAGTTTTTCATATTTGCACACAGTTTCGTATCTAAATGTAAACAAAGAATGTTTTAGAATAGATTTCTTTATTAATCGTGAGATTTGTCACCGTCCTTCAGGTTCGATTCCTGCTCAATTTTTTCTTTTTTTAAAAGATTTCTCGGATATTCCGCCCGGTAGGTAAAAATAGATAAATATACTTATTAATAAATAAACAAAGCGTCTACTCGAATACGAGTGTCCACTAAAAATGGCGTCTGAAGTGCTACAAAAAAAAATTCTGATCAAGTGAGGAGACAATAAAAAGAGGAATTTAATAAGAATTCATTTTCGTCGATAGGAATAGGTTCGCAGTGGATTATTCCTTGTTTCCTTTTTAAGTTTGTGTTTCCAGTTCTTTCCAAAGTTTTCTCATTCTCTTTCACTCCCAGCAGCCACTTGCGTTTTAGCGGTATTATTACCTTATTTGGGGTGAATTGATTTTGCAAAACTGTTAAAATTATTATTATTATTAATAATAATAATAATTGAGGTGGCTCATTTACATATGAAGTCACAAAGACTACAAATAGTTACAGCTGTTAACCATGAGACAGATGAGTGCATACTACCTCCTATGTGTCAGTAACTGTTGCAACCTAGGGAAGGTTACTGAATAGAATAATCACACGAAGGTTGGTAATGAACGATAATACTTAGGACAAGAACAACACATATAAGATTCTCCAGAGGCGTGTAGATGTAGTAGTCAACTGCTAGAAGTGAGCCAAGTGAATACTACAATAAATCTGAAATTTCTTGCAGAATATGTACCAACCGCCCCACGCGGTTAGATGTGACACAAGGCCGAATTTAATGTGGGGTGTTCGAGCGCGTAGGCCCGGCCAAAAAATCCCTGTAGACCCCGTATAAAACGGGATCGGGTAGCTGTTTCCCGAGGCGAGATTCTGTTCTTCGATATCGCCTCGTCTAAGGATCCTCTCTGTCCGGAGCTAGAGTGTTTGTTTAGCACAGCTGGAGACGAATCTGCAACTTCAGGATATCTATCAACCGCCCAACGCGGTCACGTGTGTCAAAAGGTCGAATTTAATGTGATCTATCCGAGCCCTTAGCCGCGGCCAAAAATTCCACGTACGCCCCGTATAAAATGGGGTAGGATAGCTGTTTCCCGAGACGAGACTGCGCTTTGACACAGCCTCGTTTGGGAATCCTCTATGCCCAGAAGTAGAGAGTTTGACCAGCACAACTGGAGACGAATCTCTAACTGCAGACCAACATACAGTATTCACTATGTGAATGGGGACATATTATCGTCCGTAGGTATGCTACAACAGTAACGCTACACTACAATGGCGTCGCCGATATCTAAGGAACCGAAGTAACAATCATAATTATGAATGCGCAGAAGCGTGGCTTAAGACACCAGCAGCTAAAGCTAGAATAAAAAAGAAGATTGAGATCTCCCACATCGAGACAATCTCTTAGGGAGAGTGGAGATGATAGTGAGGAGGATAAAGCTCCCAGAAGTACCAGTGGAAATAAGGGGATAAAACCTCTTTTCCATATGAAGACTCATTTCCATATGAAGTCACAAAAAACTATAAATATTACCCATGAGGCAGTTGAGTGCATACTACTTCAGTAACACTACACTACAATGGTGTTGCTGATATCTGTTGAACCAAACAAGCTATTATTACTTGATAATTATGAATACGTACAATTTGGTCTTCGGATAGATACTAGCAACTAAAGCTAGAACCAAAAAGATAAAGGATTCAAAATCAATCAGAGGGGAAAACCAAATAACTAACTTCTTATAGGCAACTGCTGGTTGTGAGGCCATCATAAAATTATCAGCAATTGCACACCCAAGACAGCTGGAAGATTGATAAGTCCTTCCGCTCTCATAAGTGGACACATTGGGGCCCCATTGACCATGTCCTATACTACCAACGACAAACTATGGCATGAAAAGAAGAGTTACAGAACTAATTTCAAGTGGGAACCTCAAAAGGGTAATTTACACTTCAAGCCCCACACTTAGTTTCTATAAAATAATAGTTCGGACTCATTCGTGTCGCGGTTGGTGAAATTGAAATTAATTTTGCACCTCAAAAAAGAATAGTGAATCTAATCTACAAGAGGCAGATTCATAATACAAAGTGGACAGAACACCATGATCAGACCAAGTTAGATTGCAACATGATAATGATGAAGAAATGTATAGTGAGCCTGAAAATAATGAAGACAAAAGTGTCATATCAAAGCAAGGTAAAGTAAACGGTGAAATCGAGAGTAATATAGAATCTGAAGATGAACAAAAAACAATTATTGGAGGAAGACCCCTATGAAAAAAAGAAAAAGCTCAAGATCTCTCATATCTAGACAATCTCTTAGGGAGAGTTGGGAAGATAGTGGGTAGACAAAAGCTCCCAGAAGAAGTACCAGGGAAAATAAGGGGATAAAACCTCTTTGGACAGAGAGATGAGGTGACTCATTTACCAAGACTATAAATAGGTATGGTTATTACCCATGAGGCAGTTGAGTGCATACTACTTCTAGCAAGTCAGTAACACAACACTACAATGGCATTGCCGATATCTATTGAACCAAATGAACAATTATCACTTGATAATTCTGTATACGCATAAGCATGGCTTAGAATATTAGCAGCTAAAGCTACAACCAAAAAGATAAAGGATTAAAAATCAATCGGAGGAGAAAATCAAATAACGGATTTCTTATTGGCAACTGCTGGTTGTGAGGGCATCATAAAATTATCAGCAATTGCACACCCAAGACAGTTGGAAGATTGAAAAGTCCATCCGTTCTCATAAGTAGACAAATTAGAGCTCATTGACCATTTCCTATACTACCAACGAAAAACTATGGTACTTCATCCTGTGACTTAGCTGGGAAGAGAATATATGGACTATAAATAGCTATGGCTATCACCCACGAGGCAAATGACTACATACTACTCCGCGTGAGTCAGTAACACTACACTACAATGGCATGGCTGATATCTAAAGAATCGAATGAACAATTATCGATAATTAGGAATATACACAAGTATGGCTTAGGATACTAACAGCTAAAGCTAAAACCAAAATGCTAAAAGATTCAAAATCAATCGAAAGGAGAAAACCACATAATGGACTTCTTATTGGCAACTGCTAGAAGTGAGGCCATCATAAAATTATCAGCAATTGCACACCCAAGACAGTTGGAAGATTGAAAAGTCCATCCGTTCTCATGAGTAGACAGATTAGAGCTCATTGACCATTTCCTACACTACCAACGAAAAACTATGGTACTTCATCCTGTGACTTAAATGGAGAGAGGATATATGGAATGATCCTGAGTTGACCTGTTTATATACGAAGTCAAAAAGACTATAAAAAGCTACGGCTATCACCCATGAGGCAGTTGAGTACATACTACTTTGCGTGACTCAGTAACACTACACTACAATGGCATCGCCGATATCTAAAGAATCGAACGAACAAATATCGATAATTATGAATATACACAAGTTGGCTTAGGATACTAACAGCTAAAGCTAAAACCAAAAAGCTGAAGGATTCAAAATTAATCGGAGGAGAAATCCAAATAACGGACCTCTTATTGATAACTGCTGCTTGTGAGGCCATCATAAAATTATCAGTGATTGCGCACCCAAGACAGTTGGAAGATTGAAAAGTCCGTCCGCTCTCATGAGTAGACATATTAGAGATACATTGACCATTTGCTATACTACCAACGACAAACCATGGTATGAAAAGAAGCCTGACAGAACTAATTTCAACTCGAAACTTCAAAAGGGTTATTTGCAGTTCAAGCCCCGCGCTCAGTTTCTAATAAAAATTTCCCGGATAGTTGCATTTAGGTGGTAAAAGGACATTCTTAATTCGAAAATAACAATGACATTTTGATAAAATCTACTGTTTTGGAGTTATCGACAATAAAAGTTCGGACTCATTCGCGTCGTGGCTACTTCAAGAAAGAAAAAAGAAAGAACGAAAAAAGAAAGGAAGAAGAAAGAAAGAGAGAAAAGAAAGAAAGAATGATTGAGAGAAAAAAAGAATGAATGAAAGAAAGAATGAAATAAAGAAAAAGAAAAAGGAATGAATGAATGAAAAAAAAAAAAAAAAGAACGAAGAAAAAAAGGAAGAAAAAAATGAAAAGAAAAGAAAGAATTATTGAAAGAAAGAAAGAAAAAAAATGAATGAAAGAAAAAGGAAAGAAAGAAAAAAGAATGGATGAAAGAAAGAAACAAAGAATAAACGAAAAAAAAACAATGGGAGAAAGAAAGAAAAAGGAGAGAAAAAAGCAACAAAGAAAATAAAAGAATGATTGAAAGAAAGAAAGAAAAAAGAACGAACGAAAGAAAGAAAAAGGAAATAATGAAAAAGAAAGAAAGAATTATTGAAAGAAAAAGAAAAGAAAAAAGAGTGAATGATAGAAAGAAAGAATGAAATAAGCAAAAAAGAATGAATGAATGAAAGAAAGAAAGAATCAATTGAAGAATAACTATGTAAAACGCCAAATCTGTAGAAAAACTTAAGTAAATCTAAAAATAAATGAAACAAAGCTGGAATGCTTGCAAAATTTTACAGCCTCTGAAAAGTCCATCTGTTGGGCGGTATTGCATCGTAAACAGGCGTGTAATGGAGAGAAATGTTGCTATAAGTTTGGCTAATGGTCTCCCGTCGGCCCTCTTCTGTCCCGTACGTGAACGTCGATAAATAGTTAATATCGTCAAGTCAGGCGATGGCAAGAACATAACGTATAAAATCCAGACATGCGCAGATTTTCAAAGGTCTGAAAACGAAGAAGAAGAAGAAGAAGAAGAAGAAGAAGAAGAAGAAGAAGAAGAAGAGCGTTGTAAAGGATACAAGAAAATAAACAGCAGGAGAAGGCTAATTCTGGCATAAGGTTGTATTTGAGGAGTATTTTTCATGGTCAACGAAAAAGAATTAAACAAATAAAAAAGCTTTCTAAAAACAAGACAACGATTCCGTAGATGAAATTTGATTATTAAGTCCATAAACTGACACGGTTACAGGTCGTGGGTGCTGAAAATTTCTCCATTCGTCTCACTTCCCTAAAATCTTATCAGTTAAGTACGTCCTAGATTTTATCGTTTCAATGTGCTTCTTGGTCGATCCAGACAATTCTCAGAGCCTCACGATATTTGATCGGAAATTCATCATCTCCATCTTCTGTCTTCCTGAAACCTGTTCTTTTATTGTCCTTTCTCCTCACTAAAGTCTTCTCATTCCGTTTCGTTCTTTGCGTCTTTGTGGCATCATTGCCATCTACTGTCTTCATGAAACCTGTTCTTTTATTGTCCTTTCTCCTCACTAAAGTCTTCTCATTCCGTTTCGTTCTTTGCGTCTTTGTGGCATCATTGCCATCTACTGTCTTCATGAAACCTGTTCTTTTATTGTCCTTTCTCCTCACTAAAGTCTTCTCATTCCGTTTCGTTCTTTGCGTCTTTGTGGCATCATTGCCATCTACTGTCTTCCTGAAACCTGTTCTTTTATTGTCCTTTCTCCTCACTAAAGTCTTCTCATTCCGTTTCGTTCTTTGCGTCTTTGTGGCATCATTGCCATCTACTGTCTTCATGAAACCTGTTCTTTTATTGTCCTTTCTCCTCACTAAAGTCTTCTCATTCCGTTTCGTTCTTTGCGTCTTTGTGTCATCATTGCCATCTACTGTCTTCCTGAAACCTGTTCTTTTATTTTTTTCTCCTTGTTCTCATTCCGTTTCGTTCTTTGCGTCTTTGTGGCATCATTGCCATCCACTGTCTTCCTGAAACCTGTTCTTTTATTGTCCTTTCTCCTCACTAAAGTCTTCTCATTCCGTTTCGTTCTTTGCGTCTTTGTGTCATCATTGCCATTTACTGTCTTCCTGAAACCTGTTCTTTTATTGTCCTTTCTCCTCACTAATGTCTTCTCATTCCGTTTCGTTCTTTGCGTCTTTTGTCATCATTGCCATCTACTGTCTTCATGAAACCTGTTCTTTTATTGTCCTTTCTCCTCACTAAAGTGTCTTCTCATTCCGTTTCGTTCTTTGCGTCTTTTGGCATCATTGCCATCTACTGTCTTCCTGAAACCTGTTCTTTTATTGTCCTTTCTCCTCACTAAAGTCTTCTCATTCCGTTTCGTTCTTTGCGTCTTTGTGTCATCATTGCCATTTACTGTCTTCCTGAAACCTGTTCTTTTATTGTCCTTTCTCCTCACTAATGTCTTCTCATTCCGTTTCGTTCTTTGCGTCTTTTTGTCATCATTGCCATCTACTGTCTTCATGAAACCTGTTCTTTTATTGTCCTTTCTCCTCACTAAAGTCTTCTCATTCCGTTTCGTTCTTTGCGTCTTTGTGGCATCATTGCCATCTACTGTCTTCCTGAAACCTGTTCTTTTATTGTCCTTTCGCCCCACTAAAGTGTTCTCATTCCGTTTCGTTCTTTGCGTCTTTGTGGCATCATTGCCATCTACTGTCTTCCTGAAACCTTTTCTTTTATTGTCCTTCCTCCTCACTAAAATCTTCTCATAATAAAGTTACATCTTTCTTTTTCTTTTTTTTAAATCATTTCTACCCAAGCTAGGCATTGAAGTCACATCATTAACAACATCTCCAGAAAAAAGATGAGCTTCATCACCGAGCAGCTGAGACGTGTTGATAAACGGGCACATCTATAAGAATTTAAGGAAAAAATGTGTTTGAAAAATTATAAAGATTTACTACAGGAAGGTTTTATTCATAGCTAGCATGCTTTGCCCGCTCGCTATCGCTTGGCAAAATAAGATATATTCACTATTTGAAATATTTGAAACAAAAATTTTAAACGAAGGTTTCATTCATAAATTGACTTGTTATAGTTAAGGAAAGTTTTACAAATAGATGCCAACTTGTTAAAGGCCAAGTAAAATGCAAATTTCAAACACTTTTCTACGCGATACAAGACGATATTTTTAAACAGAACTATTTTCGATATGAAAATCAAAACATTCCTCGAATAAAAGAAGAATAATGAAGGGGAATTAATTAATGATATAAACTTTTTAAAAATCAATATGCAAATTAGTTAAACCTGAAGGGTGATATTACCTAGAAGTAGATAATATATAATGAATACGTTCAGCGTTCAGCTGCGTTTGGGGGAATACGCATTTTCTTATCATCTCTCAGTTGCGTCTCTATCCTTGGACAGAGTGCGCTCAGGGGCTTCTCTGTCAAAGGACAGAGGGGCAACTGAGGAAAATTATACTGAAGAGGTGCCCAGCCCTGGGGAACAGCTGCCCGAGGCCGCCCCTTCCCATTGCACAAGAGGGATCGGTGCTCGCGCCGAGGCCAGCGCAACCGTCGGTTGCGGGGGCTGAGGGCAATTTTTGTCCCTACCCGGGTGTACGCGCTCGGGTGCCCACATTAAACCGACCTTGTGTCACATCTTTTTCTAGTGGGGGAACGAGTAAATACCTGCGTTTGGGGGATTTCGCATTATTTATCATCTCTCAGCTGCGTCTCTGTCCTTGGACAGAGTGCGCTCAGGGGCTTCTCTCTCTGAGGACAGAGGGGCAACTGAGGAAAATTATACTGAAGAGGTGCCCAGCCCTGGGGAACAGCGCACCGAGGCTACGCCCTCCCATTGCACAAGAGGGAGGGATCGGTGCTCGCACCGAGGCCAACGCAACCGACGGTTGCGGGGGCTGAGGGGAATTTTTGTCCCTTGCCTGGGTGTACGTGCTCGGGTCCCCACATTAATCTGACCTTGTGTCACAACCTGACCTCGTTGGCGGTCAAGTAAATACTGCGTCTCTGGCTTTGCTGACCTGGAGTAGCATTTTGATGTCGGTTTAAACTTTGGCAACTCATCCCGAGATTAGTGTAGGTCTTGTTTTTTGATTTTTAGTTTTTCTTCTTTTCAGTAAACTTAGCTAGGGTGTGTTTGCTCATTGGCCCCTTTTATTTCTGTCCCCACTGTTTTTTTTTCTTTCTTTAGTTTAACTCCCCATCCCCTCCCTTGTTTAAGTGGTCAGTGATGTCAGTTCTCTGGTGGATGCGGGCCGCGTTTCGCGAGCGTGTTTTTCGTATTTGTTGTTGTGTCAGAATGAGTGCATGTCTGTGTGAGTGCTTGGGATGGATGATTGGGATGGAAGAACGCTATATTCTTAAAGTCCCGCATCGATTTCGTTTAGTTAACTGATTTTTCTGCCACATTTAAGGTTGGTGGGGGGTATTACTAACATGATTTTGTTTAGTTTTTTGTAAATATTTTATAACCATATTGTATATATATATATATCATCGGGATGTTTTTAGCTTGTTGTTTTTATTCCCTTCCCTTCACAGACAACGATTTGTGCATAAGGGGACTATTTAGAACTTTTCATTGATACAATGAGGTATTTTGGCGGATGTAGTAAGAAAGGTAAGTATGAATGTGTTGTTTTGGTGCTAGGATTATTGTTTTGCACGATTGGGTCAGTGGTTGTGGCTAGCTAAGTTATAAATTAAGACAGATGATAACCGTCTCTTTTCCCCACCCCCTTTTAGGCCTTGTGCCACATTTACTGTAATTTCAATAATAAATAAGGGGCTTCTCTGTCAAAGGACAGAGGGTCAACTGAGGAAAATTATACTGAAGAGGTGCCAAGCCCTGGGGAACAGCTGCCCGAGGTCGCGCCCTCCCATTGCACAAGAGGGTGGGATCGGTGCTCGCACCGAGGCCAGCGCAACCGACGGTTGCGGGGGCTGAGGGGAATTTTTGACCCTGCCCGGGTGCACGCGCTCGGGTCCCCACATTAATCCGACCTTGTGTCACATCTCATTCTCGTGGGGGAGTGAGTATACACCGTCTACGGGTAAAGTGCACTCAGGGGCGACTCCGTCAAAAGACAGACGGCTGCGACGGCTGAGGGCCATTTTTGTCCTTTGCCCGGATGCACACGCTCGGGTCCCCACTTTAAAAAGACCTTGTGTCATATCTCGTCCTCGTGGGGGAACGTAAACACGGTGTAAAAGACGTTTACTTATCATTTCTCAGTGCGTCTCTGTCTTTGGGCATATTGCGCTCAGGGGCTTCTCTGTCAAATGACACAGTGGCAACTGAGGAAAATAATACTGAAGATGTGCCCAGCTCTGGGCGACAGCTACCCGAAGCCGCGTACTCCCATTGCACCATAGAGAAGGATCGGTGCTCGCACCGAGGCCAGTATAACCAACGGTTGCAAGGGCTGATGGGGAGTTTTTGTTCCTGTCCCGGGCGTACACGCTCGGGTCGACACCTAAAAATACACCATATGTCACATCTCGTCCTAGTGGAAGGACAGAGTAAATACCGCGTGTAAATTACTATAAAGTAGAATTGGGCCTTTTTTAATCTCAGAATTCGTGGGGCAATTGAGTTCCAGTTTCGCATTTATTCATATAGATTCCATAATATAGGTTTTACTTAATTAGCCATTATGTTTCTCTAACTCTAAAATGTTGAATGTATAACTAACTTTAATTTTTATTTTACCATCTTTACAATGTATTAATTTTATCTTATAAATTGTCCTCCTGTTTTGTTGCCCATGAAGTAAAAATAATTGTTTGTACGGAAAGTAAGAACCTACGTACATCAAATTGTCTTTAAATTAAGTGGCAACAGAAGAATTATCGTTGAACTTTTAAAAGGTAAGCGTAAACATTAATTCAATGCTTAAATGCAGCGATCAATTTTGAGTTCTTTTGTCGTTTATTGATGCCTATCCCATCTACTCCACGCTAAGTATTGTGATGATAGACAAACCAAGGCTCCTTCACAAGAGCTAGCTTAAATGCCGGCTGATAGGGTGGCTTTGAAGTTATTTATAAGAAAATGTACATTGCAATTTTTGATACAAATGGAAAATAAGAGTTACTCCTCTTGAAGCATAAAAGTAACGATAATGGCTAATATAATATATTAATATATATTTTTAACCTCTGGCAACCCTGAATCTGAGCTCAACGAAAATCTTTCCCTGTGCCTAACTTTTCTAGGGCTTTTGAATGAACTATGAATCATTGAAATCGGGCCAGTGGGAGCGGAGGTGTTTCTTGGGCACACACGCGCACAAACACACACATATACACTATACTTCATATAGAAGACTACTAGTAGAGCCCGGCGTTGCCCGGGGTGTAACAATAAGAGATATAGATCAAGTATCGACCATCATAAAGACTGAAAAATAAAATTGACAAAGATTATTGTTTAAGGTTGACGGACACGCATGTCTTAATTAGTTGTTTTTTTTTTTTTTTTTTTACGAATTGGTCAAACTCAAACAAAAACAGTTTTCAATCGTTATGAGTCTATCGATTGAATAGAAATTTATTATAAACAATTGTCTTGTAAATGGAATTTTTAAAGCATTCTGAATGTAAAAATAAAGAAGAAAAGTGTTCAAGACAATAAGAAACACTACCTGCCAAAAAGAAGTGAAGTTTTGTTGAAATCGGTTGAAAAATGTAGGAAATCCGATCCTATTTATAAAGAAACACACACAAACAACCAACCTGGGTTTTATAATAAAGACTTTTTTTTTTATGAAATCTTTACTTCATAAATCGTAAATTTATTTTTCTTTTAAGTATTTCACCCTAAGCAGGGCAATAAAGCCACTAAGACGCAAGGAGTTACCGAGTGTAAAAGAATATGAGAAAAAGAAAAATTTATTAAGGGGAGAGAACAATAAAAGTACAGGAATTAAGAAAACGAAAGATGACGCTTGACATTGTATTTAATTTTCTTTTTCTTTTTTTTTTCAATATACTCGTTTTTCTTCAAGACTTTATCTGGATAAGAGTTTTACGTTTTGGTAGGTTATCCGCTCGTTCCAGCAACAGTTTTGGTTTTTCCTTATGGCGTCCATATTCTTAGTATTTCTAGGGTCCGGTCCTTTCCATATTACAGTGGAACCTCGGTTCACGAATTTAATTCATTCCTCAAGACCGTTCGTAACCCGAAATGTTCGTAAACCGAAACTATTTGTCCAATGTAGAGAAAAAAAAGGCACAGTACAATAAAATTGGAAAAGGAAATCACGCCACAACACACGAATGTATACAACACGGCGCTCGACTCAGAACCGATTCCGTTCGGGTTAACTCGGTTCGGCTATGTTGTTCGAGAGCCGAAATTTTGTTCGATAACCGAAGCATTTCCGTCTCGAATTTTCTGTTCGAAAACTGATTTGTTCAACATGTGAGACGTTCGAGAACCGAGGTTGTTCTGTATTTTACCCAGACAATCAACATAGTTCCGTTATTTTGACGATGTTCTATCTATATATCCTCGTGATACCGATTTAACTGACCTAGTAGACAAAATAACAAAGTTGAACATATAATAGAATTTGCATACGAAATGGAAGAATACAGTTCCTTACCTTTCCTAGATATCAGGCTACACCGTGTTAACAACAGTTTAAAACTTGGTGTTCACTGGAAATCAACCAACAAAAACAACCTAATAAATTTCTATTCCCATCATAACAATAAAATAAAATCCCGCATAATTTACAGACTCTACTTAAGAGCACTAAGAATATGCAGCCCTGATTATTTACACGGAGAGGAGAACTACATAGAAAACACTTTAAAACTTCTCCAGTGCCCTAATTATTTTATATTCAATGCGAAACAAAAGGACCACAAAATATTCCAAGACAACCCCCCAGAAAAACCCAATGAATAAAAAAAAATATATATTATACAACCAACTTTATTACATCTACACTCGAAAAGAATCTATCTAAACTCAACATGAAATTTGTTGCTACTACATCAAAAACAATAAAAGACTTAGTCAATACTAAATAAAACAATAAGCTAAAACCTGAAGGAGGAGTTTACTCCATCGCCTGCAATGAATGTCACAAAAATACGTAGGAGAAACCTCAAGGAATCTAAATAAAAGATTATATGAACACAAAAAGGTCATTTTACAAAATAATATTTCAAATACCTTGGTTGCCCAACGTAACGAAGCTGACATAAATATTGACATAAAAATTGCTACTCTAATCAAAGGAGTAAATAATAATTCACTACGTCGTAAACGTCTAGAGAGTGCCTTGATCGCAAGGTCATCCACAGTAGATTTTTGCCGTGGCTCTTTCAACATTTCATAATTTTTCGATTATCACAGTGTGTCATACCTACTTACAAAAATAATGGAAAGAAAAAGACTTTAAATGAATTACTAAAAAAAAAAAAAAAAAATCCCAGCATCCTGCATTCGTGCGCATGTGTAGTCGTAACAACATAACATATTTAGTCCGATGAAGTCCTGAATGTTGAAACGTGTCACAAGTAAACTTTTTCCCTTTTGTCATACAATTTCCCATTTATATATATATATATATATATGAATTGAAACTATATGAATTAAATCCATCATAATTATTGAGTAAGGAACAAATAGGAAAACGTTTATCAATTTTGTTTCTTTGAAGCTTCATCATAAAGTTTCCAATTTAAACTTAATTAAGTTTCTGGGAAATATTCAGTAGAGCGGAACAAGGTTTGTTTCTTATTTAATCACACACACACACACACACACACACACACACACACACACACATATATATATATATATATATATATATAAAACAATTTCGAAAAGTCCTCATTTGACATAATTCTCTTATGAAATAGCCTCACCAGAAAAAAAACTTTTCAAGAACAAAATATAAATTAACCAAACTAAACATAATTCATAACGATAATAACATCGTTTATCTGATAAATCTCTTGTATTCTCAAAATGTGTCCATCGAACGACGTCTCTGTCGCATCAAGTGTCTTATTCATCTAGAATGAGATTGTCAGCAATTTACTGGAACCATTGAATCAAATTTTGTCCATGCGTTAATAATATTAGTTTCGTCGAACCTAATCTAACACTCTGGGGAGAATTCATTAAGTTTCGAATTCAGAACGAGGCCAGCTTTCTAACCACGGGGCCATACCAAAGGCTTTGGAGGTTTACTGCATGATTCCACTTGCAAAACTTTCATCCTTCTTCTTCTTCTTCTTCTTCTTCTTCTTCTTCTTCTTCTTCTTCTTATCATTATTATTATTATTGTTGCTGTTATTATTATTATTATTATTATTATTATTATTATTCAACTCCTTCTTCTTCTTATTGTTATTATTATTATTATTATTTTTATTTTTATTCTTCCTATTCTTATTCTTTTTATTCTTGTTGTTCTTCTGCCATTTCTTCTTCTTCTTCTTCTTCTTCTTCTTCTTCTTCTTCTTATTATTATTATTATTATTATTATTATTATTATTCTCCTTCCTATACTTATTGATTTTCTTAACCTTGTTCTTATTCGGCCACTTGTTTTTCTCCTCCTCCTCCTCCTCCTTCATATTATTATTATTATTATTAATATTATTATTATTATTATTCCTATTCTTATTCTTTTTCTTGTTGTTGTTCTGCCATGTCTTCTCCTCCTCCTCCTCCTCCTTCTTCTTCTTCTTCTTCTTCTTCTTCTTTTGCAGCAGCTGCTGCTCCTCTTCATTCCTCTTTGTCTTCTTTCTTAACCACCGGTTGTGGCGCGAAACACGTTTCTCATCAGCACTAAAGAGATTTCCGACTCGTCTGTTTATTGGAATGGAGCTACGTGCCTGGAGTTCCAGATGCAAAACTCTTCATGTCCCCAGAGTCGTTTGTCAAGTGCCTGAAATGCGAAATTCGATCGCCAATGGCAGACGGCATCCAACCCATCATTATTTAAAAGAAACCCTCCCCCCCCCGTAGAAATGTTATTAACGATCACCTGTGAATAGACAAGAGAAAGGACATGTTTCCGCTTCCTTGGAAACTGGTACACCCTTTGAAAAGCACTTTGTACGAAGAATTATAATTCAAGATATTGTCCTTTAGAATTCCATCGGAAAAAATGTTACAGGAATGCACTGAAATTTACGAGAAATAGAAATATTTTTATTAAAATATATTACTGACTAGCTTAAAAGCCGTCCTCCGGAGGGCTCATAGTTGGGCTTTCATCACAATAGCTAGGGAGGAGTAGATGCGATAGGCAACAATAAACTACAGAAGAACTCAGAATTGATTGCTGCATTTAAGTATTGCATTAATATTTAAGCTTACCTTTTAAAAGTTCAACGATAATTTTTCTGTCGACACTTAATTTAAACATAATTTGATGTTCGTATGTCCTCACTTTCCATACAAAAAAGGATTTTTATTTCATGGGTGATTTCCCAATTAATTTCTATTATTCCCAAATTTATTTCCGAGTTATAAAAATTGGTATCGTACAAAAAAATACCGTCGCAGAAAATAACTTAAAAATCGCCGAAAACAATCGCAATTATAAAAACTTGGGAATCCAGAATTTGAGGATTGCGGGTCTGGATCAGTCCCGGAATGTTTTTAATTTGCTCACGGCGTCGGCCTGATTCCAAAATGGTATATGTTGGGCAACGGCCTCTAGCAGTAAAGTTGAAAAAGCGTGACACCAATGGCATACTGACATTCGCATTTATTATATAGAAGAAGAAGATGAGGTATTGAGAGTTGTGTCCTTTTAATTGAAAAAGTGTGACACACTGACATTCGAATTTATTATATAGAAGATAGTTTGAATCTAGGAAAGTACCGAAGGCTTACGGCCATATCCCGTTGAAACACCGGTTCTCGTCTGATCACCGAAGCTAAGTCGAGTCTGGTCAGTACCTCGATGATTGAACGCTTGGGAATACCAGGCTCTGTAAGCATGGATATGTGCTTGGTGTAATAGATAACGGAGAAATCGAAGAGCCGAGTTCGAATTCCACTCGAGTTCCTTACATTCACATGCTTAACTTACCTACGATATTCATGAATCGAAAAAGAGACATGACCACGGAAGAGTGATGAACCATTCCTTCCCATCAATGTTGAGGAGGCCTACATAGCCCTTTTTGTTGGACGTAGGCCTTTTTTGTTAGACCTAGGCCATTTTCTTGGGCGTAGCCTTTTTGTTGGACATGGTCCTTTTTCTGGACGTAGGCCTTTTGTTGGACGTAGACCTTTTTTGTTAGACCTAAGCTATTTTTTTTTGAACGTAAGCGTTTTTGTTGGACGTCGTCCTTTTTCTGGACGTAGGCCTTTTGTTGGACGTAGAACTTTTTTGTTAGACCTAGGCTATTTTTTTTTTTGGACGTAAGCGTTTTTGTTGGACGTCGTCCTTTTTCTGGACATAGGCTTTTTGTTGGACGTAGGCCTTCATTTGTTAGACCTAAGCCATTTGTTGGACGTAGGCCGTTTTGTTAGACATGGTCCTTTTTCTGCACGAAGGCTTTTTGTTGGATGTAGGTCTTTTTTGTGGGGACGTAGTTCTTTTTTTTTGGGGAAGTAGGAATTTTGTTTGCCATAGGCAAAAAAGTTGGACGTATGTCTTTCGTTGGATGCAGTGCTTCTGGTTGACCGTCGGCCTTTTTGTTGGAAGTACGACGTTTTGTTGGGCTTAGACAATTTGTTGGAGGTAGGCCTTTTTGTTGGACGTAGGCATATCATTGGACGTAGTCTTTTTTGTTGGGTGTAGACTTTTATTAGACATAGGTTTTGTTGGGCGTAGGCTTTTGGGGGGGCGTACTTCTTTTTGTTAGGCATGGGCCTTTTATTAGACGTAGACCTTTTACTTAAACGTTGGCCATTTGTTGGACGTAGGATTTTGTTGGACGTAGACTTTGAAGTAGAAGTCATTGGAAATGATTTACTATAAAATCCATTGTGAAATCTTTTCTATATAATAAATGCGAATGTCAGTGTGTCACACTTTTCAATTAAAGGGACACAACTCTCTAACTTTCAATAGCTCATATTACAGAAATTTTGGATTTCCAAGTTTTCATTACTTTCGTTTTCGTTTCTGATTTTTTTACGTGATTTTTACGAAGATATTTTGTTCCATGACAAATTTTATAGCTTCGAAATAAATTTGAGAATAATCAAAATTTATTGGGAAATCCAGCGAAAGTCACCCGGGAAATAAAAGTAATTGTTTGTACAGAAAGTAAAGACCTACGTACATCAAATTGTCTTTAAATTAAGTGGCGACAAAAGAATTATCGTTAAACTTTTAAAAGCTTAAATATTAATGAAATACTTAAATGCAAAAAGAAATCTCGGTCATTGGAGGACCAGATTGCAATCAAAAGAGCCAAAGGCAGCAGCAAGGAAAAGAAAGTCGCGTGCAAATGCAAACTCAGATAATATGGCAGAAAGGAGAGCTTCCAATGCTGAGAATATACAAAGACTGAGGGACTCTCGAACTCCTGAACAAGGCAAAGACCCAATCTAGAGCCCTCCGCGTGAGCTTATATATACATACACACACACATATATATATATATATATATAGCAGCACGCCAAATTTTTCTCAATACTTATGCCAACAGAAGACCTCGATATTCATTGATTTGCTTTTTACGGCTTATCAACCCTTTACAGGCTATTTAAAGCCAGAATATATTTTTAGATTTTAAGAATTTTTTTTCTAAGATAGGAGTGTTTTTTATGATACAAATCCTCCTGTAAGGAAGATAAGGACCTACGTACGTGGCTGCGAAATAATATTTGTCGAACTTTTAAAAGGTAAGCTTAAATATTAATGCAATACTTAAATGCAGCGATCAATCTTGAGTTCTTCTGTAGTTTAATGTTGGCTATCGCATACGGAAGCAGTATGCCTCGCAAAAAGAAATCTCGGCCAACGGAGGAGCAGATTGCAATCAAAAGAGCCAAAGACTGTAGTGGGGAAAAGAAAGTCCTGTGCAAATGAAAACCCAGATCAAACGTCAGCGGGGTGAGCTTCTAATGTTGAGAATATGCAAAGACTTGGGTACTCTCAAACTCCTGAACAAGCCGAAGGCCCAAACAGGAACCCTTCGCAGGAGATAGCTTAAATGTCGCCCGATAGGGCGTCTTTCAGGCTAGTATATAAATACAGTGGAACATCGGGTCTCATCGCGGACAAATCGGTTCACGAACAAATTTTCGGAAGAAAGCAAAAAAAAAAAAAAAAAAAAATTCTCGAACGATGAACACATAAGCCGGCGACATTTGTGCAAAATGGGAATCTGGGCAAACTTTCGTGGAACGATATCACCCTGGTAAATTAGCAGCAAAAACCAAACAAAAAAATAAATTCAATGACACTGCTATTATAAATTAACCGATTTAAAATATGTTTTTTTTCGCTACACAGTTCTAACCATGTTTCAAAAATGGAAGCTAAAAGCTCCGAATTTAATTTTGTAATTAAATTAAAGACATTAGTTCCATTACATCCTCAAGCGAATTATGGAGTAACTTTTAAATACTGTAAGTAATTCTAATACATTTACTTCTTTTAAAAAGAAATATAGTCTATTAAAACTAACAGTGAAAATATTTTAAAGTTGTATTTAAAATTGTAGTTAAATAAAACGAATTCTAACCTAAACTTCTTTTAAAACGTATTCTAACCTAAAAACATCCCTATCTCTATAAGAACACCGGATCTTACTGTTCTTTCTTTATATATATATATATATATATATATATATATATATATATACAGTGTAACCCGGATATAAGAGACCCGGATATAAGAGAAACCCGGATATAAGAGAGATTTTCTCTGGTCCAAAATTAGAGCCTTTGTTAATGTTTATAAAATAGACGAAACCCGGATATAAGAGAAACCCGGATATAAGAGACTTCTTCTCCGGTCCCGACAACTCTCTTATATTCAGGTTATATATATATATATATATATATATATATATATATATATATATATATATATATATATATATATATATATATATATATATATATATTATATATATATATATATATATAATGTGTATTTCAGCATATTTCATTAAGACAGGTTTAGTTGAATAATTTCGACATGTTCTGTTTACTTGTTCTCCGTATGATCCATGACCACGTGACAAAAAAACAAACAAACAACAAAAAAAAAAACAAAAAAAAAACCAGTAAAATCAGTAAAACTCAGTTTTACTTTTTTTTTTTTTTTTTTACCTTTTGGCTAGTCTTACCGTGATGATCCGTTTAGGTGAAACCTAGGTAGGTTTGACTGGCTCTTTAGGTTTATATATATATATATATATATATATATATATATATATATTTCATTGAATACGACAGAAAAAGGTGCTTTTGTTTAGTTTTTTATAGAATTTCCCATGCGATCAAATAATTTTTTTTTCTTTTCGGATGATAAATTATATAAAAACTGTCCAAATGTTCTTTTATCCGAGCGCTTTCGGCTATACATTTAGCCATTTTCAAGGATGAAATATTTTAACTATTAAATAAGAGATAGTTTGTTGCTTGTATGTATTTAAATAATGTTTTCATTTTTCAGAACATGGTCAAGATATTGTGTCCATGTTCATAGATGATATTATTGAGTGTTGGGTTTTTTGCTTTTATTAATAAGGCTTCTATTATTTTTAGCCTTTTTTTTTTGCATGTAGATGATGCTATTATATTAGTGTTGTCAACAAGTATGTTACGAATAGGGTCCTTTAGGTCAACATAAATAATTAAATGAGATCTAATTGAGCTATGGTTAGAAAGACGTACTGTGAGTCTTCTTGTCAAAAGACTGGGGATAGATAGATAGATAGATAGATAGATAGATAGATAGATAGATAGATAGATAGATAGATATAGAAATGAATAGACTGAGAGATAAACAGGTAGATATAAATAGACTGAGATAGATTGATATGAAAACTGAGATAGATATAGACAGATATGAATAAGATAGATATGGATAGACTGAGATAGATAGATAGATAGATAGATATAAATAGACTTAGATAGATAGATAGATAGATAGATAGATAGATAATGAGCAAACTGCGATAGATAAATAGATAGATATGTGCAGATTGAGATAGATAGATAGATAGATAGATAGATAGATAGATAGATAGATAGAAATGAATAGACTGAGAGAGATAAACAGGTAGATATAAATAGACTGAGATAGATTGATGCGAAAAACTGAGATAGATATAGACAAATATGAATAAGATAGATATGGATAGACTGTGATAGATAGATAGATAGATAGATAGATAGATAGATAGATAGATAGATAGATAGATATGAACCGAATGAGATAGATAGATAGATAGATAGATAGATAGATAGATAGATAGATAGATGACCCAACAATCCCATCAAATTGTCTTATATTCTTTAAAGAGATAATGGGAGAAAGACTTGTGAGTAGACATGAAAGACTAATGGCGCATTTAAAGAATAATGAAAATAAATGCTACAACGGGTTATTCATTAAATGCGTCTATGAACAAATAAATAAAAGGAATAAATCAATAAAATAAACGAAACCTTCTTACGTGCCTCGCCCGCCTCCGCCCAT